TCTCCCACTAGTATTGTGTTGCTATTGATGTCTTTTTCCAAATCTATGAGTAGTTGTTTTAAGTACTTTGCTGGTCTCTCATTAGGTGCATATACATTTATTATTGTAAGTTCTTCCTGTTGTACAGATCCTTTGATCAATAAGAAATGGCCTTCACTGTCTCTTATGACCTTCCTCACTCTGAAATCGATGTGGTCTGATATAAGGATGGCTACCCCAGCTTTTTTATGGGAGCTGTTTGCCTGTAGGATTGTTTTCCAGCCTTTGACTCTGAGTCTGTGTTTGCTTTGACTATTGAGATGCATTTCTTGCAGGCAACAGAATGTTGGGTTCAATTTTCTAATCCATCCTTCCACTCTATGTCTTTTAATTGGTGCGTTTAGCCCATTGACATTGAGAGAGATTATTGTTATGGGATTTTGTCCCATTGTTCTGTTAAAATTTTGGTGTATTTGAGGGGCCTTTCTTGCCTTAAAGTAGCCCATTTAGTTGTTCTTGTAACCATGGTTTTGAATCTATGAAGTTCCTGAGCTGTTGTTTGTCTGTGAAACTGTGTGTTGTTCCTTCTATTATGAATGAGAGTCTTGCTGGGAAAAGTATTTTGGGGGAGGCATTTATTTCATTGAGTTTTTTTTCTATGTCCCACCACTGTTTTCGGGCCATGAGGGTTTCATCAGAAAAATCAGCTGTGAATTTTAAGGATGCTCCTTTGTAAGAGATTTCTTTCTTCGATCTTGCTGCTTTCAGAATTTTGTCTCTGTCTAAGGTTTTGGTCATTTTGATCAGAATGTGTCTTGGGGTATTTTTATTCGGATTTCTTCTAGCTGGTACCCTTCGGGCCTCCTGAATGTGGTCACAAGTTTTCTTCAGCTCTGGAAATGTTGTAGCAATGATTTCTTTGACAGTTTCTTCTTCATCGAGGTTTTCTTCCTGTACCTCTGGGACTCCAATAATTCTTGTGTTACTCCTCTTGGCTTCATCACGATCTTCTCTTGCCATCTGTTCCCGAATTGTGAGTCTCTTTTCCATTTTCTGCTCTTTTCGGGAGAGTCTCTGAACTTCATCTTCGAGCTCACTGATTCTGTTCTCAGCAGCTGTTACTCTGCTGCTGAGGCCTTCCACTGAGCTTTTCAATTCGCCTATGAGATTTTTCAGGTCTGACATTTCTGATTGCATTTTCCTCATTTCTGCCTTCAGATCCTCTTGTCTTCTATTGGCATTGCTTTCCATTGTTTCTTTTAATTCCCTAAGCATCCTAAGTAGCTCCCATCTGAATTCCTTGTCAGAGAGGTTGTCTAACACTACAGTACTGTTGGTGTCATCTGGGCTAGACTCTTCAATATGAAAGTTTGGTGGGCTTTTGCGTTGCTTTACCATTGTGAGAGGTGTGGTTTAGTCCTTCACGTTCACTGTTACTATTCTGCTTTGATATGCAGTGTGAGTTAAGATAGGCTTATGAGTTATTGGCTATTGTGCTTCTAGTGGCTGAGCTAAAATAGAGAAGTTTCCATCTAAGAAGTTAGCTTATGGTTCCTATGGCATATGTAGTGGGAAAATATTTCGCGGCCGCTGACGCGGCCGCGGCTCCGGAAAGAGTCCCTGGCACTAGGCGAGGAGTTGGGAAAGTCTCCTGTTTGGAATTGGAGCCGTTCAGCTTTGTTGCCCAGATCTGGGCCTCTGTGCCTGTCCCACGCAGATCAGGGGTTGAAAACCGGCTGTCTAGGGGCTGTTTCTAGCTGCGCGTGCCCAGAGAGGGACCAGAGCCCTTGGGGGCGGGCTGTACCTGTTGGAATTGGAGCCATTCAGCTTTGTTGCCCAGAGCTGGGCCTCTGTGCCCGTCCCACGCAGATCAGGGGTTGAAAACCGGCTGTCTAGGGGCTGTTTCTCTATGTTAGCAGTTCTAATGTGAAGACTGAAGGATGATAGATAGTTTAGGAAGGAGACCTAATTTGTGACATGCATGGTTTAAGTATAGGGAAAAAAAATCTAAAAGACTGAATCATACATTTAATTTTGTCTTGTTAATTTTTAATGATTATGACAAAATTGAGAACACATTTGGAGATGGATATACATGAAAAGACTGAAAATTAATGTATCAAATGTTCCCTGTAAATTAATTTTATTATTACATCATTTTAATATTAGCATGATATACTTGTGTAATGCCAGAAATAGAACTGAAATTTGAGAAAAATAATGTATTTAAAAATTTCAATATAAACAGTGTTTAGGTTGAGACTAGACTAGGATAATTGGGACAAACAGCTCGACACTCATATTTGAGAGTGAAATCTGAGGACAAAAAATAAATCGGAAGAAGCATCTGTTGAGGTTGGAGTTAAATTTATGTATGTAGCAAGATTAAGGTAATGCTTAGAAAGAAAAGAAAGGATGGTGAATCTGAATACTGACTGGTCCTGAGTATAATGATGTTCTGACCTCTAGATTTGATAGAACTGATGTCTGGATATCTACAAGATTTTATCAATGCCTCTCTGGAGAAATAAAGACCAGGAAGTATGAGCAAGAGATAAAGAAGGATTAGATATTAGAACAGTGACAAGGAAATAAATGTACCTGTGAAGTTTTTGTGTATGAAGCAAAACAAAAATTATTTCTAAGGGTATGAGGAGTGAAAATATTATTTCACTCTTTGGAATATTTTGGGACATATTTTAGAATTTTATTCAGAATAACATACAAGGGAAAATTTATTTAGAAGAACATAAAGAGGAGTATAGTGGACAAGGCACTAGCGTTGCATGGACCCAACTGGGTTCAGTCTCAGAAATTCCACATGATCCTATAAAACTCACAAGGAGTGAGTCCTGAGCACAAAGCCAGGAGTAAGCCCTGAGCACTGAAGAGTATCCACCCTCCTCCACACAAGCAGCATAAAATACAAAATTCTTACTGGTATGTTCAGAGATGATAAAAGAATTCTCTGGAGACACAAATTAGCCATGTACCCCTTGCCCCCAATTAAAAAAGTTTTATTGAATATACTTACATGCAATATATTTTCCAGAAGAAGATTGGGATGTAATAAAGTGAAGAAACACTCTGCTTCAAATGACTAAGTTAAGCAGAGAATAAAATATATTCACAATATATTGTGTCATAATATGTGTCTACTTTACAAAGTGAAAAAGCATACATCTAACAAGAGGAAGACTAACCTCTTGGTGGCGATCATTAATGTAATATATACAGATGTTAAGTTATAATGCTATACACCTGAAATCTATGTAGTGTAATAAATTATCACTTCAATAAACATTCAAATTTTAAAAAGTGCACCTAAAGAAGCACACCTGGAAGTAGATTAAAAAACATATAAAGACTGAAAAGATGAATGTGTTGATCTGATCATTAAAGGAAAACATTTTTTTTCTCTTTAATTAAGATGCAGTTTTCTTTTGACTTGTTTGAAATAGTGTGTTAGCTGAATTGAGTAATTAAAAAAAGTTCTGTCCTTATTTTAAATATATCCAGAGGGAATTGATTAAAATGCATAGGGTGTCTGGTTCTTGAACTTCTTCACTGCAATGTCAACCAGCCCCAAATTCCATTCTCTAAAATCTGCCTAAAAGTATTTGAGGGTTTTTTTTATGAAGATATAAAGGAACATCAGAAATTCATAGGAATCATTCAACCTGTTCTTTGTTGTATTTGGTCCCTGAAATTGAACCCAAATGACCTGTCTTAGAGGGCCCCTGCTCTAGCTCTATCACTCTATGAGCAACATTCTCAGTAACCCCACCCCATATTCCACCACAAGTTTTTCTTAAAGGTGTAAAAGAGGTTTAAAAAATCATAATGTAAAATGTCTCTGTTTATTTTTTACTTGGGGGCCACAATTGGCAGGGCACAAAGCTAACTCCTGGTTCTGGCCCCAGGTATCACTCCTGGTGGGCTCAGGGCATCTTGTGGGGTTTAGGGATCAAATCACACTTGGCCATGTGCAAAGCAAGTACCTTACCCACTGTACCAGCTCTTCAGTCATGGCTTGTCTTTTGACTAACCAAGAGGGTATGTTACAGCACAGAGATTTGAGTGGATTTGTAGAACCATAAGTTATGTTAGGAAAGTAGCATGTTGGGGTTACCAAGCCTACTTGTTGGATGTCATGAGAAAAGAATGGTTCTCAAAGTTAACATAATTAGGTTGAGCTGAACCTATTGGATAATTCCTTACCAAATTAAGCACTGCATATGCAAGTATAGTCTGTCAATGAAAATATGGACTGTCATGCAATAAAAGAAAATTTGTATTTTCTTGTCCATCCCTTACTGTTGAATGTCAATGAGAAACTCATCTGAACAGTACGAAGCACAAGGTGTTTTCTCAGCATCTATTTATCTATAAATTTGAGTGGTTTTTTTGTTCATTTTTATTCCTAATCTTAACTGTAACCCTAATCCCATAATCATGATGCTAACCTAACCTTAAGTGCTAACCCTAACTTCAACCCAAATCCCAGTGAATTTTTTGAGGTGAATGTCATGGAATTGAATAACACACAATTGAGTAATTGTAGAACAGGCATTGCATGTGTGAACAAAGAGTTTTGAGGAAGAATGAAAAGAAATTATGAGTCAAAAGAGTGTTATACTTTGTGAAATATTATAAAATTTAAAAAACATCTGGTGCTAAGAACCTGAAACATATATTTATCTTGGTGCAAAGGACAGATACAAGAAGATAAAATAAAAGTCTGATCTGCGATGGAGCTTCATAGTATAAACTGTATCCCATCAATCAAGGCCTCAATGGAATGGGGAGAGTCCAATGTAGATACCAAGCAAGGCAGTCTTCTTGAATCTCTCTGATGTTTAATCTTGTGGTGGAGAAATAACAAACGGATGAGTTTAGCCATAAAATAACCTAATGGCATGACAGCAATGTTGGGTCCCACCCACACTGAGGGTATATAAAAGGCCCTGTTCAGGGTCACTGGGCAGACCCAAGTCACTCACTCTCCTCCTCTACCCAAGGACAACCTCAACAACCAGCACCATGTGTGGCTACTACGGAAACTACTATGGAGGCCGTGGCTATGGATGCTGTGGCTATGGAGGTCTGGGCTATGGCTATGGCGGCCGTGGCTATGGATGCTGTGGCTATGGAGGCCTGGGCTATGGCTTTGGAGGCCGTGGCTATGGATGCTGTGGCTATGGAGGCCTGGGCTATGGCTATGGTGGCCGTGGCTATGGATGCTGTGGCTATGGAGGCCTGGGCTGTGGCTATGGCTATGGCTCTGGCTCTCTCTACGGCTGTGGCTATGGATGTGGCTCTGGCTATGGCTCTGGTTTCGGCTACTACTACTAAGGATACTATGGAAGACAACCTGTATCTACACAAGGACCTTGGGATTTACCATTTCTGAATCCCATATATTTTGAACTTTGTGGATAACTCATCTTCTGATCACCTTCAGTCTTTCTTTTACTAGTATTTTGCTCAAAACAAGGGGGGAAATCCTGACCTTAACCTTGAACAATCCTCAATGGTCTTATTTGGAATGAGGCTGTCAGCATTCTATGTTTCAATTCTCCTGCTATAGTCTTTTCCCAGTTTTTCTAATAAACCTGTTGAATCTCCAATGATAGACGTGTTTTCTTTTTCTCTTAAAGTGTCTTTCTTATTCTTCCTCTTATGACACAATTGTGGTTACCTAAGTGTGGTAGAGAAGGAATAGAGGGTTGTGTCCTATAGCAGGGTGTCATTTATACTCTGTACATCAGTGAACCCAATGAATTATGAATATAAAGGAACATATAATGAATGCAGTCTTTTGTCTTTATTTCTTGGATTAAAGAAACTACTATCTAGCACATACCTTTTTTTCACTCTTTCAATTTTAGTTTCTCTAATTTTAAATTTGCATCACAAAAATGGTAATCATGTAGTCACTACTTTTAGGTGAGATAACATATAATATAAAGTCCTGATAATATATGATATAGTGGTCTACCCCATACTCACTCATAAAAAATATATTTAATTGTGTGATATGTAGGTTTCACCATGGGGTAAGTCTATAACTTTGGGCAAATTGTATCTTCCTTTTAATTTTTTTCAGACAAAACAGACTGTTAATTTTTTTTTAAATTTTAAATTGTATCTTTTTTGACCTTTTATAAACATTACAACACACATTCTGAGATATTTATGATGATTTAATACTAAAATATGTAAAGGACTTAGAATGTGCCTGAAATGTAATAAATTTAATATGTTATTTGCTAATATATGTGTAAATTGTTCTCTGTTTATACATAAACATTCTGCTCACATTGGCTGGTATTAGTCATGAAATTCTTATGACAAAATGCTATATAAAAATGTATAACTGGTAAGACTGTAGTATAAATACAGATAGATGTAATAAAAACATTCCAGTAAGAACTTCAGTGAGTTCTTACATTTTTCTCCATTTTCTGTCTACCATTTTATTTATGAAATTCTTACTATCCAATTCCTATCCAGTTAGATCTAGATTAGATCTAGAATCTGTTCGAAAGTCTCTTTCATATTTGTATTATTTCTATTTGTTACAATTTGCTCCCGTTATAACAATTTCTGAGTTTGTTTCTCATCTCACCTCAAATAAATATTCAGATAATCTTAAGTAAATCTACATTTTTACTTGTATCTGCATGCCTGTCATACTTTCAGAAATTACATAGCTCTTAAACATTAGATAACTTTAAGACTGCATTCATGTTTCAGCCCTTTTCTTAAAATATCAGTATTTCAAAAGTTGAGATTCAGAGTTTTCTGCAGGTTCTGATTTTTAGTAGCTTTTTATTTTTAAACAGTTCTATCCTTTGCAAGGATTCTTAAACACAGCTAGTACTGAGTCAAGAAATTTATTCTTTCAGAATATCTGCGTTGACATATATGAACCTCTCTCTCACATAAGCATTTCTTATACATCATGCAAATTTAAGCAAAAATAGATTTTTCTTGCCTAATTAAGAATATTCATTACTCTTAATGAAGAGTTAATAAATATGACATGGAGAACTAGTCATTTTTCATAGCATGCAAATGTTTTTTAATTTTTTAATTTTATAAGTTAGTTCACAATATTTGATTACATTTAATATTGTAACACCAATTCCACCACCATTATGCCTTCCCACCACCAAATTTGGGATGTTTCCATCTCAAGCCCCAATCTCTGTTGCAAAACACAACCTAAATAACATATTTTGTGTATTTTCTGTTACGAAAAACTGTTGAACATGCTTACAAAAAAGTGTTCATATAAGGAAACAGTGTGAAGATTGTTCTATTTTGGCAGGAGTCATTAAGACATTCTATAGGATATCATCAACATGTTGTTAAAGTTTGGGTGATGTGAGCTTTGGTATTTATATCTGAAAATATGCGTATATACATATGCATATATTTATCTCTCTATATATATATCTATGATTTGTTTTTTTTTTTTTTTTGCTTTTTGGGTCACACCTGACGATGCACAGGGGTTACTCCTGTCTCTGCACTCAGGAGTTACTCCTGGCGGTGCTCAGGGGACCATATGGGATGCTGGGAATCGAACCCCGGTCGACCGCATGCAAGGCAAACGCCCTACCCACTGTGCTATCTCTCCAGTCCCTGATTTGTTGCCTACTGTCTGAACCCCATCAAATGTGGTGTGGTAATTATGGAGAATGGGTAGGGAGTGTCTTATGATGCGAAAGTGGCCACGCTGTCAAGAACATGCTCACTCATACGTGAGGTTCTGCCCTAGTGGGTAGGGAGTGGCCTTGAGTGTGGTGGCAGTTGGGTTGTGGCGGTTTTCAGTTGCTAAGGCTGGCTGGGTGCCTTTGGGCAGGGAGGGCTCTCACCTGCCCCCCTCTGGAGTGTCCCGTGTGAAACAGCCTGGCATGGTTATGGGAACCTCTTGTTATGGTCCCTTTTGGGAGAAGCAGCTGTGGGATGGGGATGGTGGGCAATGACGAGATTATCTGGCTCTGTCAGGAGGTGGCTTATGGGTGTGACCCCTGGGTCACTGGAGACTGGGGGGAAACGGGCAGAGGTTCTCCGCTCCCATAGTACGTAACAATTTTTATGAACATTTGGTTGATGCTCCACTTGAATTCGGCTGTTGTCTCCCTAGATGGAATTTTTTCTTGTATGACAAATTTTACGCCATTCCATTTGCTTTTTAACCCTACCTACTTTGTAGGTAACAGTACAGTGTTCTGTGAGATACTATTGGTGTCTCTGCTACCTTTCTCTGCATTTAATCATTCCAGTCATACTGCTGGTACCCTGCTCTAAGTCTTAGACTCAGAATGAAGGTTTAATCTCTGCCTGAAGCAAGGATTTGATAGCCACGAAATTGTCTTCTTTGCTTGATTAGAAGAATAGTAGCTATCCCTAAACACACAACCCGCCTTGAAGCACAAATGCACACACTCCACAAACAAGCATGGAATTCGCATTTGTTCTGTCAAAGAAATGCTGGAGTTAAGTAAGTGAAAATGAGATTTTAAAAATACATCTGTAGGAGATTTAAAAAATGTAAAATGTCAAATTAGAATTTAGTGTAATTTAAGAGTATATGTACAAATGTAGAGTACTATGTTTTATTTCTGTCTACTATGCTCTACTGATTTCTAGAGTTGATTTTTCTGAAAACAGAAAAGTTCAGAAAATTCTTTTACTTAGTCAGTGAATTCAACTGTAACATTCAGAACAGTTACAGTTTTATAATGATAATAATAAAAGTAATGACATTGATATACTTTTACTATATTTCTACAGCACGGAGTATATATTACCCAGTGCTGATTTGTTGCAAATTCGTAATAGGTTTCATGAAAATATTGATTTAGTAATATTACTATTTCATTCATCATTCATCATCCTGTTATTCGTTGATTGCCTCGAGCAGGCCCCAGTAACGTCTCTTTCATCCTAGCCCTGAGATTATATTCAAGGCTCTTTAGGAGAATGAGACCCATCATTGTTACTGGTATTTGGCATATGTGGTGCACCACGGGGAGTTTGCCAGACTCTGCCCTGTGGGCAGGCTATATTTGATGGCCTGCAGGTTTTTCCAGAGTAGGAATGAGATAATAAGATATCATAAAAAGATGTCCTGATAAGATGTGGCGCGGGCGCGAATGCAGCCGCGCGGTTCCGGGAGCTGGATTTTATAGTCTCTGAGTCTTGGCCGTTGTAGGGATTACATGGTGCCAGGGGGCCAGGTGGTGGGTGTGACCCCCGCCTACTGGAATTTGGAGGATCTGGGTGGAGGATGCTCGACTCCAATTCGAGTAGGCTTGGAGATCTCGGCCCCGGAACCCGCGTGGCTTTGTCCCTCTGCCAGTACCTTCATGTGTGCGGAGAGTGGTCTCAGCATGGTGGTGGCTGGTCCTGGAGGTCTTCGGCTGCCGGAGCCCTGGTCGGGGCGGGGAGGAAAGCTCAACCCGCTCCCCTCCAAGGGACCCCAGCGAGGAACAGCCAGGCGCAGGGGCAGGAGACTGACTGCACTGGTCTTGTCCGGGAGCTGGATTTTATAGTCTCTGAGTCTTGGCTGTTGATGGGATTACACGGCGCCAGGGGGCCAGGTGGTGGGTGTGACCCCCGCCTACTGGAATTTGGAGGATCTGGGTGGAGGATGCTCGACTCCAATTCGATTACTATTTTATTGGATTATTTGTATTAATCCAATTCGATTAATATTACAATATTACTATTTAAGCTAAGAAATATCAGACTCAACTTCCAATCAGATTATCATATTAGTGTAGCACTGTCATCCCGTTGTTCATTGATTTGCTCGAGTGGACACCAATAATGTCTCCATTGGGAGACTTGATGTTACTGTTTTTGCCATATAGAATATGCCACAGGAAGCTTGCCAGGCTCTGCCATGTGGGTGGGATACTCTTGGTAGCTTGCCGGGCTCTCTGAGAGGAACAAAGGAATCTAACCCAGGTCGGCCACATGCAAAGCAAACACCCTACCCGCTGTGCTATCGCTCCAGCCCATAATATTAGTATAGAAATTAAAAATAATTTCATAAAATTATTTTATATATCTAGTAACAGCTAATTTCGTATTTGTTCCAAACTAGATTCATGGTAGTTATTTGAAACCATGTGAAAAGAATTTCATGTTTTTAACCGTTAGAACTTTAAGAAGTATTAATGTTAATGAGAAATGAAAGTTCAGTTTTCTGAGTCTGATGATTTAGTTTCACACCTTTTGAGTTTTGTAAAACACACACACACACACACACACACACACACACACACACACACGGGAGTCTGGAGTGATAGTAAAGAAGCTTGAGCATTTGCCTT